TTGCTCGTCTCAAAGCCTGTAGGAGCTACTTCAAAACTGCATTAATAGCGCGATTGAAGCAAATGCTTCATGCTTGACGCATCTGATAAGGCCACCAAAACACTCTAAGAAATTGGAGAATAGAAGAAGTTGCAGAAGTAATTCCAGGCATTCAAGTAGAGAGCAACAGAATCGGCAGTGAATGCGAGATGTGTTTGCAAATGAACATATGTTACTGAGTTGAGCATAAAATAGAGCGCGATTGTGATCATCGTTTAAAACAGGAACGCTTGGATCGCAAGCGAAAAAAACGATAGTGTACTTTAATCCTAGGAGTATGGATAATTTATGAAGCAATTTTTGCGCTCGTTGAAAGTAACATTCGAATTTATCTGGTAACGTAGTAGTTTTTCTAAAGCAACCCACCAATTAATCAAACCGATATCATCCGGTGGTTCACAAAACCGTTGAACTTTTTAACTCCTAAATCGATCAAGCCTATGAATGTGGACTGTTCACACGTTTGGTCAGCTTTCCAGAACTGGAACCAGAAGGACCTTCGTAAGGCTGTTTTGGAACTACTGATGAGTCAGTCAGTTTCATTTTTATAAGAAGTGATAGTAGTTTAGTTCTTCACGAATGAAACAAAATGGAAATTGTCAACATTTCTAGAACTGTTCACTGGCGTTAAATTACTGATTCATACAAATCAGTCTCATTTAAAAGTTTCATGAAAAGCTCNCTAGAACTGTTCACTGGCGTTAAATTACTGATTCATACAAATCAGTCTCATTTAAAAGTTTCATGAAAAGCTCAAATGAAAATTCATCAATGTGCATGAAACTGCATGAAACACATTAACAAAATGATAAAGTTGTATTGAGCTGATCGAAGTTAATCGCTGGTTATAGAAAACATTTAATAAGCTCCGATTTGAGGCAAATGTACTTTGAGGCAATTTCAAAGAACATCCACAGGCTTGGTTTATTCACGGTGTGGACGAGTTTAGAAGCGCGCCTGTCATTAGGGCTCTTAACGCGTTACCTGTTACAACCAAAACGCGAAGAACGTGACCTTTGTTCATCGGATCCGATAAGCGTTGAAACAGGACGAAATGAACATCGATCGCTTAAGAATGATAATTGAACAAACGTAAAAGAAAGGTACATTCGCAATTGGAAGAAATCGATGTGTCGTCGGATATTTCCACTGGTAATATCGATATGCATTCGCGATTCGATCAGATTTAAGGTGCGAATTTTTGACTGCAGACTTTGAAGTGAATTAGTTTGATTAGTTAGA